TGGAATGGGATCACCCCGTACAACGTCTGGATCCCCACCACGTCATCCTCCCCCAGCTCCACCTTTCTCGTCCCGTGCACCAGGAAAGGGAACATGACGGCATCCTTATCCGACGAGTGGCCGAGGCCGAGCAAGTGCCCGATCTCGTGCGTGGCCACCGACTCAAGGTCCACCACATACTCCGACGGCGGCTCCTTGCGCAAGTCAGTAGTCCATATCTCGTCCGCGTCCAGGTGGAGCCGCCCGTCCTCGGGGGCGAACGAATGGGCCAGCACACTGCTCACCCCGTCGAACGGGGCCCCGTCCCCGTGGTCCCCGCTGTACCACCCGATCTTCACGTCCGCTTGTTCGTAGTCCTCCGTCTCCGTGAAGGTCACGGGGATGTACGCGGACCAGCGGGCAAACGCGCGGGCGAACACGACCCTCACCTCTGCGGGGTCCAGGTAGTTGATCCCGTGGTCGGGAGAAAAGGCGTACTCGAGGGTGCGCTTGTGCCAGCGTGGGGCCATCCTGCCCATGTAGGTGAAGTGGGGCACGTTGTGGCGGTGGAGGGAAGGAAAGGGGGCGGGGGAGGGCGAAGGCGAAGGCGAAGGCGAAGGCGAAGGCGAAGGCGAAGGCGCCGCCGGGGACAGTGGGAGAGAGGAGAGGCAGATCACTAGGGAGAAGAGCAGCAATAATAGTGATTTGGAACACCTAAAACACGGCGGCGGGGACGACATAGTTATATATTTTTTATACTGCCGATCGAGTTTAACTTACTAATTAGATCACTACACAATTCATATTTTTGTTCAGGGTGCGTCAGTTTATATAAAAGGAATTAATGTTTTTCCTAATTGTAATAGGAATTAATTCATTTTTATTTTCCTATATCCCTTAGAATTAGCAGTCAGTTTATATAATAGGAATTAATTATTGTTTTTCCTAATTCTAATAGGAATTAATTCATTTTTATTTTCCTATATCCCTTAGAATTAGCAGTCATTGTTGCGCCGTCATAATCATGATTCTTGTGGCAATTTATACTTATATTAAAAGATATTCTATTTACTAAATATAGTAGGCAGAAAAATTAAACTTAATTAATGAATTTTTAATTTTATCAAGTATTTTAATTACGTATTTTATATTTTTCTTATCTCATAAAATCACTTTAGTAAAAACAATCCCATAAGATCGGAGTCAAACTTAATTACAACATTTATTATTTTATCAAGTATTTAATTTACCTTTTTTTTTTGTCTTATCTCATAACATCAGTTTAGTCAAAAATAATCATTCTTATCTTTACATAAAAAATCCCATAAAACCAGTGAAATAAAAAAATAAAAAAAAATTATAAACGCAAATTCAATCTTTTTAAGGATTTCTGTGCAAAATGTATGGAAATGTGTTCTTATCTTTTTACAAATTGTATAGAAATATGTTTTGATTTTATTCCTCTAGATGTAATGTAATCAGATTTCATACTTTCAGTTTTTT